CTTCATGCTATCATATCTCGGTTCTCTAATACCTGAACCGTGGTATGTTCGGACCGAACCACTGACTCGACCGGCATAACTCTCAAACCGGTATGCCTCTAAGGCCGGTCTAACTCCAAGTTGCTCCCCAAAGTAACTCTAGCCGAAGTAACTCTATTACTTCGTAAGCCGAAGTAATTCCACCTCCTTTGGGCCGGAGTAACTCTGTCTCTCCTAGGCCGGAGTAACCATTACGGCCTTTTTTACTTAATCCTTCGCTTTTCTGGGCCTTAAAGCCCAACTCGCAGCTCGGCCCAGTTTTTCCCAAAAATTGCCCTCTCATATATATATATATATATATTATCTGAAAAAGCAAGAAGAAGACAGGCAAAAAAAGAAAAGAAAAAAAAAATAAAGATAGAGAAAAATAAAAACTTTTGCTAAAGGAAGTATTCCAGTAAGTCCAATAAATTGCAAGAACTTCTAACAGGCCCAAAGGCCGGCCGAAAAGATTTGGGCTAATCAGAGTTGACAGTACCACGAAAGACGCATGCTTCATCTACTCTTGAGACTGTGATCCTTTTTCTTGCATAATCAATTATCATATTAATTTTGTTTACAGATTTGATAAGATTTTTTGTGAGAAGAAAATATACATTGAATTCGTTTAAAATAATAGGGTCCACAAGTTTAATTAAGATTTATATCCGAACCTAATGTTAATAGTTTGTAAATACAATAACAAACATAGATAATGTAAATGTTTTAGTGTTAAAGAAAATGATAATATATATTTTTTTTCACTAATATAACTGAGAATTCTTGATAAAATAGGGCAATGTATTTTCTAATAATAAATTGTCTAACAAAATATATGAGAGTATGAAATGGTCACAAAAGAGATAAAGACAATCTCTATGTAGGAAGAAGAATGACTCTACAAATGGAAGAATCGTCTATACCAAAAAACACAAACAAAAAATGTTTCGATGTACAATATACACACATTATGTAACCTTATATAAAATTATATAAATTTTCACAAATTTAAATAAGTAAATCACACAAAAATATATAAACTGAACACAAATTTACATAAATTTATAAAAATTATTCATTTTTGTGAGATCAGTATATAAATTTGTAAAAATTTATATAATTTTATGCAAAATTAAATATGATATGCAATACAAACTCAAATTTCTTCCGACAAAACAATTACCGCAACAAAAACACTACTAAACACTTTTACGATCCGTCAATGAACGCAATCTTGGAGCCATAATAATTCCAATAAAAGCGTGATGCTGATTTCTCCACTTTCGTTATTTAATAATTTATTTTTGTCTATTGTCTTTTCTTTAGTGTTTTTGTATGTTGTCTATAGTGAAAATTAGGAGTGTGCATAATATTGTCGAAATCATCGAAATCGTTAAAATTGTACCAAATTGCACCGTCAAGGTAAATTCGTTATTATTTGGCAATCGAATCGTTGATTTTTGGTAAGAAAAATGGCAAATTCTAGTGACACTTTTATAGGTCTGCCGATTTCTATTTTTCTTCCAAACCGCACCGACTCACACCGCTATTAAATCATGTTTTATAAGATTTCAAAAATTATTTTTTACTTAAATTTGCTTGTTGTTCTAGGGGAATTCAAGATGTCAGTAATCCAAAATAAAGTTGGATTCCAATTCATTTTTCAATTTTTTTTTTTTCTGGCCATGTTGCAAACTTGCATCAGCTCACTTTTCAATCTAAATACTTTTCAACAGTAAACATTTTCAATTTATTGTAAACCCTGAATGATATTAATTTTATGTATTGTATTTGATCATTGTAGCTTCTATAGATGCTTGTAATGAACTGATGACATAGTCGTTGATATTATCATATTGTTGCTACACTTGCTGTATCAGAAAAAAGTTTCGCAAGATGCTTAACATCACGGTATCTCTCGTCTTTTTTTTACTCTTTGATTTAAGTTTTGTAATTTGAATTATATTTTTTATAAACCGCCAATACGCTCGAACCGCCAAGGTAAATCTACCATTATTTGCCAACCGAACTGCAGATTTTTGATAAGAAAAATGACAAATTTTAGTGACACTTTTATCAATCCGCCATCCGCCATACAGTTTCTATTTTTCTCTCAAACCGCACCGACCCACACCGCGCACACCCCTAGTGACAACTATTTGCGCAAGATGAATCTTCTTCCGTTGAGGTAGCTAGGCATGCATTATGAAGGGCTATCTTAAAATTAAGGGATTTTTAATTTAAAATTTTATAAAATAAAAAATATATAATATTTTAATAGTAGCTGAGATCTTTTGGCTTCGTTTGGGAAGTGGGTTGACTTTTTGGATTTTTGGTTTTTTTTGGTATTTTAATCTGGGCTAAAAAACTTGATTTGGGAAGAATTTTTTGACTTTTTAGTTTTTTAGCTTTTTTTATGAGAGAATAGTGTAATGATGGGTTGGATGTGATGTTTTATTTTTTGTGGCTAAAATAGCATATTTTATCTTTTGTGGCTAAAATAGCCAAAAAAGCCTAGAGACCAACTTGCCAAACGGAGGCTTTAATATTTTTATAGAAAAATTTTAATTTTTTAAAGAGAAATTTCAATTTCATAAAAAAATTTCAGTTCTTCACAAAGAAATTTGAGTTAAAATTTCTTTAACAATATTATTGAGGGACCTGAACTAATATAAAAAAAAAAAAAAAAAAAAAACCTCTCCTACTACCAAAAATTGAAGAGGGATGTTTTACTAATTTTTTCTAAAACTAATCCAATGAAATGTTTTTAAAGTTATAAAAAAATATTTAAATAGTTAGAATCTTAACATACTTTTTGGAATAAATTAATTGATCTTATATATTTAGAAATTCAAAACTTCAAGAAGTGAGATATAATTTCAAAATCATAGAAGGCAAATATATTTTATTCAAATCTCCGGAGGTGTATTTGTAATTTATCCAAAAAAATTACATTGAGATCCGAAATTTTGACATAACTATATTAATTTTTTTTAAATTTTAATTCACATAATATTTAATTATATTTTTAGTAATTAATTTTTTAATCACGCACATGAATAAAAAAAATGATATTTTGATATCTTTTATATTGATATATTTATTTGAGGTTATTATTTATTTATTTATTTATTTATTGTTGCCTTCACACTATCTACATCACTTTCTATCTCTTTAATTTTATTTAAAACAAATTGATATAATTGTGTTAAAACTATATGACTTATTGTATTTTCTTTAAATATGAAAAGGCTTTCAAAAATTCACTAAAGAAACCTAAAAAAAGCAACAACAAAAAAAAAGAGTATTTTTGTCTGTCTTAAATGAACGTTTTTTTTTTTTTTTTTCAAAATCTTTAGATTATGTTTGGTTTGAATAAAATCTAAAAAGTGTAAATGAAAACTTAAAAAAAATTAAAAAATTCAATCTCAAATACACTCATATATGACTAGTTTCACCAAATCCCACTTGTAGGCTTCGCTTGGAAAGAAATGTTTGATTGGGTTTGGCGGTTATCTTAGTTAAGAAAAATAAAATAAGTTTTTTATTTTAATAAGATAAAATATCACATTTAACTCATAATTATTATATTTTTTTTTACAAAATGTCAAAAAAATCAAAAAGTCCTTTCCAAACGAGATTTTTCAATCTCAGATTAAAATAGTTAAAAAGTCATAAATGAATCCCTGTTAAAAAAAAGAAAAAAGAAAAAAGAAAATCATGAATCCCAAACAGATGTGTATGATCCGAGTCTCTAATTTTGATTTATGTAGCAGTGAAGTGAGAAAAGAAAAGAAATGATTGTTTAAATTATAAGAGAAAATAAAAGAAATGATTGTGATTTTTCTCATTTTTGTTTGAATAAGTAAGAAATAAAATAAAATAAATGATTGTGATTTCTCTCCTTATTATTTTGTTACATTTTAGGAAAAATTATTTATAAGTCTTATTAGAGAGACTTATGTTACATATGACATACTAAAAAACTTATGTTCCCATAAGTCTTGTGGAAAGTTTGTTGACACATTTACCCTCAATATTAGTTGTTAATATCATAAATAATAGTAAAACTATATATAGGAAATTGAATGTTACCATAGATCATATCTATATAAACGTAACGTAACATGACACCTACATAAACGTAACGTGACACTTATACGTAACGTGGCATCTACATAAACGTAATGTGACACCTACATAAACGTAACGTGACACCTATGTTCTATGGTAACATGCAATTTCCTGTAACGTGACACCTATAATCTATGACAACATTCAATTTCCTATATAGGAAATTGAATGTTATCATAAATCATATTTACATAAACGTAACGTAACGTGACATCTACATAAACGTAACGTGACATCTATGATCTATGGCAACATTCAAACGTAACGTGACACCAACATAAACCAGCAACATTTTCACATTCAATTTTAAAAAATAAAAACTCATTAAGTTTGCGAAACGTAATGTGTCAACGTGACACGTTACGTTACGTTTATGTAGGTATTACGTTACGTTTATGTAGGTGTCACGTTACATTACGTTTATATAGGTGTCACGTCACATTACGTTTATGTAAGTGTCACGTCACGTTACGTTTATGCAGGATTTTGTAGAATACATTCCTATCTGAATAGAACTTGAGACTCTATAAGAAATTACACAGGATTTAACCTATCATAAGTGTCTAAAAAAGGACATATAAATAAGTCTCCCTAGATTTTATAAGAGAAAAGAAAAAAAACAATTTTATGTTATATCACTAAAATAACCTTTTTATATTTTGTTAATTATTTTATTTTTTTTATTTTTACGTGGACAAAATTAATATTATAAAAATATAAGGATATGTTGATTTATTTTCACTCACAATCTCTCTACTTTTAAAAGAACTAAAAATAAAAATTATAAGAGAAATAATTTTTTTTTTATTTCTTGCCATTTCTCTCCGCTAGGTTATCCAAATAAGAGAAATACACAAATTTTTTTTTTCTCTCCTCATAACTCATTCCAAAGTGTAACTGACACGTCAACGTAGTTTTTTTCTGTTTGGTTTCCGAGAAAATCCACTCAACTTCCTCCTGCACCACCTCAAAAATGGAGAAAACATGGCCAGCTCGATCGAATGCTTCTCACTTCACTGCACTCCCACTCATAAACAAAGTCAAAGACAAAGACAACAACGACATCGACCAATTCGATCTCTTCTCCAAAAAACTCTGCTTCAAATTCCCCCCCAAATTCACCAATTCCTCGTTCCGTACCACCCGATTCTTCTCCAAATCATCGCCCCCCTCCACCTCGCGCCCGTCGAGCCCCCGCGACTTCTCGATGCTTCCGGACGACGTGCTCACCAAAATCGCCGCGGCTTTCAGCCACCCGAACCTTCAAACGGCGTCGCTCGTCTGCAAGTCGTGGAGGGACGGTCTTAGGCCGCTGAGGGAGGCGATGGTGTTTTTGCGGTGGGGGAAGCGGTTCAAGCACGGCCGCGGCGGCGTGAAGCCGAACCTCCAGAAGGCTCTGGACTCGTTCTTGAAAGGGGCGGCGCGTGGCTCGACGCTTGCTATGGTTGATGCTGGTCTTGTTTACTGGGAAATGGGGAAGAAGAAGGAGGGGATTGCTTTGTATCAACGCGCGGCGGTGCTCGGTGATCCCGCCGGTCAGTGCAATTTGGGGATTTCGTACCTGAAAGGTGAGATTTCTTGAATGGAAACCCTAATTTGCCCTAATTTATATGTATGTGTAGTTGTATAGTTGAGTGAAAATGGCTATTTTTTGTAATATCTTGTAATCTTTGAAACTATAGTAAAAAACTGCAGCAGCGGTTGCCTTAGTTTGGGTTTTTTGTGTATGCGTGTGATTTATCTTTATTGTGTGTTTGTTCCTTTATATGTTTCTTGTTTTACTAATCCTGATTAAGTGTTACAGATTCCTAACACATTGGCCATGAATTCTTGAGTATCTAAATATTAAGGGTTTGAAAGTTGCAGTCTTGTTGTTGGTTCAAATTTACATCTTTGCGGCATGTGCATTTTATTGTGAATGAAACTGGACCATAAATTTTGTGTACTTCTAGTAGTTACACTGTGGGTTTGAAATTACCAGAATTGCCTGTTGCTATTGTGTTCTCTGCCACGGATACTTGATTACCTCTACCCTAGTCTTCCACAACTCTTACTAGTCAGATAGTGAAATTGTTGCAAATGATGAATGGCATAGTTGAAAGAGATTGTTTATTCCTGTTGTGCTATACAAAGCGAGTACCACCTTTTTTTCCCACTGAAGTTGTATATGGGCGGACATTGGTGATGTGGGCAATCCATAGGCCCTCTGGGAACCATGGTAGGCACAAAGATGGTGTGAGACTGTCAGGGGTGGAGAGGGAGAGAGCTGTGGCAGTCTTAGGAGAGAGAATGGCAGTAGGGAAGAAGCTGAGAGCCTGAGTGATGGTGAGGCAAGTTGTCAAGGCAATGAGGTGAGGTTGGCCGGCAAGGCAAGGCTATAAGGAAGGTCCATGCTTTGTGATCTAAAGCTACCAGTACGAAGAACATTATTAGTTGTCAAAAAAAGTGCTCATTATTCTTCTTGGTGTCGTATTACTCAACTTATATTTAGCGGTGTTTCATTAGGAATGCAAGAAGTGTTGATTAATGGCTTTGATAGTCTTTAAGATCATTTATTATTTTATTACATGTGGTTTTGAATCTTTTTGAGTAATGACTGTAGTCATGTTTGCAGCTGAACCACCAAAGGCAGAGGAGGCTGTTAAATGGTTACGCCAAGCTTCTGTCGCTGGTCATGTTCGTGCACAGTACCAACTAGCTCTATGTTTGCATCAAGCTCAAGGGGTGGAGCGAAATCTGCCAGAAGCAGTATGCAACTTCTCCTATTCCATTGCTTTTACACCTAGACTACATTAAATTTATTGTTTTAAGGCATCTTGTGAAATTTACAATATGTTGATTAGTATTTAATTGCCATTTCAGATTTTCAATGATAATTCACCAATGATACTCACATTGGCATGACTTGTTGATCCTGATGGAACCTAAACTTATCTAATTTCTTTATTATGACAACAATGTTACATACCCAGAAAAGTACCAAAAGAACTACATCAATGGACTGCATTCATTATGGGTGTAGCCCACATCACACATACTTTAAATTTACACCATACACCTCTCTTTTGGGGTGATTTTCAGGATACAAATTCTGGGTACATAGCATTTTTCTTATTATGATATGAATTCTTCTTCAGCCGGTCACTCCTGTGGCACCGTCTGAGCTATTCTTTTAGTAGAGCTAAATGGAAAAAAAAAAGGACTTAGCAAGTGTAGTTGGGTTATCGAAATTTCCTCCTGATAGTTTTCTGTTGTAACAGGCAAGATGGTATCTGAGAGCAGCAGAAGGTGGCTACGTGCGTGCTATGTATAATACTTCATTGTGCTTCTTGGTTGGTGAAGGTTTCACGCAGAGCCATCGGCTAGCAAGGAAATGGATGAAGCGGGCAGCTGATTGTGGTCATAGTAAAGCTCAGTTTGAGCATGGACTTGGTCTATTTTCTGTATGCAGCACATGCATAAAACTTGATTCTCTTACAAATTCAAATGCGAATTGTATACTAAATTAAGCATGTAAAATATATATGGATCCATGTGTTATATAATTAAAAGCGTCTTTTGTATATGGTGTTAAATTAGTATGCACATTACATCTTCAATTCATTAGGGTTCAAGCTTTTTGGAATCTGATGGGCTTTTTTTGATGCAATTATGCGGACAGGAGGGGGAGATGATGAAAGCAGTAGTTTACCTGGAGCTTGCCACACGGGCAGGTGAAACAGCTGCAGCTCATGTCAAGAATGTTATACTCCAACAACTATCGGTTACTTCACGTGATCGAGCGATGATTCTTGCTGACAATTGGCGTGCTCTGCCTTTGTCTCGCTGAGTCATCATACAATTCAGTCTTTATACCTGTAATGAAGGTTTCGTATCTCTCCTTTCATTTCCGTTGACTTCCTTGACTCTGTGTAATAATAGTTTCTACAGAATTCTGTACAATATCTTTCACAATGATTGGGATAACTAGGCAATTTCCCTGGCAGTTATAATTTTCTTGGGTGCCTGGTGTCTCTAAGGAGTGAGTTGACATTTTGGTTTTTTTTTTTTTTTTTGTCTATTTTAGCCGGAGTTAAAAAGCCTCATTTAGGATGGATTTTTTGGTTTTTTTAACTTTTATGAGAGGAAAAGTGAAATGATTATGGTTTGGATGTGATATTTTGGAGTTGTTTGAGGTGTCCTAAATAAGTGTATTTTTTGTCTTTTTGAACAAAAAAATTAAGGAAGAAAATATAGATGTTTGGGTTAACTTTTTGACTTTTTATGAAAAAATATGTAATAAAAAATTGTAAAAATTGATTTGTAGGGAACCAACTCGCCTGCCTTAGCTTCCAGAGGAAAATTAGGATCGGGAGTTATGCAGTCGTAATTGTTGACTTTTGTGAATAGTGTTAACTTTTTAACTTTTTGAGTAACTTTTTGACTTTTTGACTTTTTCGCAATATATCAAACTTGACCTTTGTCTTATTGACTTTTTAGTCTATTTTGTTTTTTTTTGTGTCTATTTTAGTCCCAACCCATTATGCCAAACATAGCCTAAACTGTAGTTATCGTCTTTCGTGAGTTCTTAATATAAGCAAAAATGGTGATTTGAGTGTCTTTGAACTTCAAATTGGGCAATAAGATTACCCTGGGAAAAGGATAGTAGACAACCTCAGAGTTTGCATTATTGGGGTGGTATTGGAGCAATTATTTTGGAACTGTCTCACTGAGATTTCTCTCCATATAATTGAACCTTGACTAGGCAGTGTGCAATAATTAAGGATGCTTGCAATTTGCAAAGGGGTTGATTGATGAATAAGCCTGTGTTTGGCAAGGGTTTTTTCAGGTTTTTTTTGGCTATTTTAGCCACAAAAAACAAAATAGGCTATTTTAGCTATAACAAACAAAACATCACATCCAACTTATAATCATTACATTCTTCTCTCACAAAAAAAGTCAAAAAAGCCAAAAAGTCAAAAAGTCCTTCCCAAACCAAGCTTTTTAGCCCAGGCTAAAATAGTCAAAAAAGCTAAAAAGTCAAAAAGTCAACCCACTTCCCAAACGGAGGCTAAGCTAAGCCCGGAGATACTTATTGAATGTGAAATGAAACCTATTGGATTTGGCAGACTGAATTTGAGTAATTTGATTTTGCTAAATAAAATGTGTAGTCCAAATTTATTCTGGGTGGCTCATACTTTACCAAATTTAAATTTACATTATATAATTTATTTTGATTGATTTATTTAGGTGACGGAGGAAGGTGTACCTTTTTAATAAAATCCATCGTGTTTGGTAAATATTTTTTTTATAAAAAAAAGTCATATTTTTTTTAAACATTTGTCTTTAGCTACTTTTTATTAAATAAAAAAAAAAGAGCCTAGTTTGGAAGGATTGAAAAATAACTAAAGACAAATTTATGAAGGGGAACGCACTGATAAATCCTAAATTTGTATCCTGTGACTCATTTGGTCCTATTAATTTTCTTATGAACCGTTAGGTCCTATTCCAATGTTAATGACCAAATTAGGCGCGTTACATCGCGTGGGGAAAGTTATGGCCAGGCCATATCTGGGTTTTCACAATGTGTAATTTACGTTTATACCCAAATCTTTAAGGCGTTAGGGTTCCAAGAGAACGAAGAAATGCTGAATCGCGGCAGAGTTGGCGTGACCGGTATTGCCCCGGTGAGGTTGTTTAATCGACACGTTGAAGACCATGAGAGAGGGTTGATTCAGAGGCGGAACCGTACCATTGAAGTGATTTGAATCGAGCCGCAACTGCGATCCGATCTCCAAACCCTAAAGCAACTGCGATCCTATCTCGAACGTGCCACCGTCGACTCCCCCACGTCCCGCCGCGACCTCCTTCAAAGCTACTATAAAGCCCTCTGCGCCGTCAAGTCCCGGTTCCCGATCTCCGGCGACGAGGACCCCGTCAACGCCGTGACTTTCACTTTGCACATGATGCTCAATGTTGGTGATGTTGATGATGTATGATCAATGTTGGAGGCTCTCAGTTGATGTCGGTGCAGAGGCTCTCAGTTGATGTCGACGATGTTCAATGTTTGAAATCTGATGTTCAATGTTGATGAAATCTGATGTTCAACATCATTAATGTTTGAAATTTGATGTTCAATGTTCAACATCATCAATGTTTGAAATCTGATGTTCAATGTTCAACAGAATAGTGATTTTCACTTGGCACAGGATGTTCAACATCATCACTGTTTGAAATATGATGTTCAATGTTGTGATGTTTGATAACGAATCATTATTCTGTTGTTGTTGATGTTGTGATGTTTGATGGTGTTGTGATGTTGATGATCCAGTTTGATGTTGTAATGTTTGATAACGAATCACTATTCTAATGATGATGATCTGGTGATGTTTGGTAAATCATCTATGTTGAAGTAGTGGAATACTGGTTTATATGTTCTGGTACCTCGTTCTTAATAATAATCGTCGGATATTGTAGATGATAATGGTGTAGTTGATGTTGTTTTGGTGAATGATGTTGCAGATTTTTAGAAAACAAACCTTCCACAAAAGGGGTACTATTGTAATTTGCAAAATAATCAAAATTAAATAAATAACATTACCAAAAAAAATGGGACTAAGGGTTGGTTTGGAGTGTCCTAACAAAGTACACTTTTTGTCTTTTTATGAAAAGATGTGCAGAAAAGTAGAGCGGTGATGTGATGAAAATAAGATAAAAAGATAAAAAGATGAATTATATAGTGTACCCCAAACCAACCCTAAATGGTGCATAAGAAAACTTTTAAGATTAAATGGTTCAACTTTTCAGAAAATAAGATTTATGGGTAAATTTTCTATTTATGAATCCCACCCAAACTTAATAACAAAAAAAATTACTTTTTTTAAGCATCTGTCAGACACATTAGTTTATTTTAACAATTTTATTCTAAAAAATTAAAAAACATTAATCAACTAATTCAAAGTTTTACCTCAGGTTTAATTTGGATTTCCTAAAAAATGAGGGCCTTCAAGAACATGCATTCTAAATTAATTTTTTTTAAAAAAAAAAACACTAAGGCCAAGTTTGGGATGTTCCAAAAAAGTCAAAAAGTCAAAAAGTTACTCAAAAAGTTAAAAAGTTAACACTATTCATCAAAAGTCAACAATTACGGCTGCACAACTCCCAATCCTAATTTTCCCCTACAAACCAATTTTTACAATTTTTTAACAATTTTTTATTACACATTTTTCAATAAAAAGTCAAAAAGTTAACCCAAACATCCATATTTTCAACCTCAATTTTTTAGTTCAAAAAGACAAAAAGTGCACTTATTTAGTCTTCCCAAACTTGGCCTAACCAAGCATTATGAGAATTTGAGACAAGGGGAGGGAGAGAGCAGAAAAGGTAATAACAGAGAAATGTAATATCGTTCACAAAAGGAACAAATCCATTACAGTATTAACCAACAACTATGTATGTTCCTTAAAGCCCTTTTTTTCATTTTTCCTTTCTTGATCAGAATGTATCAACATGGTCTAGGTATAATTAAGCAACAATTTTCCCAGGAAACAAACATTATCTATGGGATATTATTATAAGACTGCCTATGAGGAAGGGCACCAGCATGATACAGATTGAGGTGGTAAATCGCCTTCGACACCAATTCTTTGAGCTCTGGATATTGAGCAGCCACTGTACGCTCTGCCCCCTCGAGCACATTCAACACCCGAGCTTGTTCCAAAGCCTCGCTATTCCCAACATTTATAGCAAGGTAGCATAGAAGAACCAGTCCATGCAATTGTGTCCTTTCACCGCCTCTCAACAGTTTCATCAGAGGCGGGACACCATTGAATTCAATCACTGTCTTCGAATGCTCCATACAGAGAAAATTCTCTGGACAAGCAAATTTCACAAGCGAAATGGTAGCTTCTGTTGCCACATCCTGGTTCCTGTGACCAAGCTGCTTGACTAGAGGACTAATAACTCGGGTCTCTCTTGCTGGAAATGTATGTGCCAACGACCCAATCGACTTTATTGCAGCGATTTGTAGTGATGGGTTGTCTGAATCGTTAACGATATTCAAAAGTTGGTCTACAGCGGCTTTTGCAGCCGGGGAATTGGTTTTGAAAGCTGCTCGTCTGAGATCAGCGTTGGACTCAGCCTCGGCTGTTATCTCCATCAATGCCATCAAGCAATTGAATTGCAACTCGCCTTTTTCCTTCTCAATAAGCTTCGCTAAACAGAGCAACCCTTTTGTCTCCGTTATTCTCCTACTATTTGAGACACTACCTTTAGCAAGCTTCCACAGAGCCTCTGCACAGCTAGTTTTCAACTCATGCTTCACTTCAACAGTCTCATTCTCTCTTTCTTTCCTATGCTGACTCAAATGCGATCTATGATTCGAATTCATTTCCTTCTCTTTACTAATCTGAACAATAGAATGAATGCTTTGAGGCTTTTGATATGGATCATCCATAAATGGCTCGAAAGACAGTAGAGTCACGAGCGGCCTAATTGCATTCTCCCTTGCAAATTCCTCTTTCGCGACGTTGTCGTGTTCTGCCATTCTCGATACTAAATTGGCCACCCGAATTTGAACCCTCATCGGCGAATCACCCAAAATCTGAACTATGATTGGAATTCCGAGCTCATCGACGATTAATAGAACCCGTTCTTGATCGTCAGACAAGTTGAAAAGCGCTATAGCAGCTGCAATTTGGGCTTCCTGAGAAGAGTTCTCTTTCAAGAGCTTCAACAATGGCGGAACCCCACCTTCCTCCACAATCATCTTCTTGTTCCGATCATTGTCTCGCGCAAGCGAAGCCAGTTCGTTGGCAGCTTCAATTCGGTCGTTCAATTGCCCCAAATGAATCGAAGCAATGAAAGACCAAACCCAAGAGAGAATCGGATCGTTACTCGCAATTGGGGGAAGAGAAAAAACAATGGAGTCTTTGTCATAAATGCTCAGAAGCCAATTCATGTCGGCAATAGAAGATTCAAGAAGGTTCTGGATTTTGCGAAAATCGGCCTGAGTCACGATCGTGACGACGCGGCGGAGGACGCTTCGACCCTTGCACTTGCGGACGAGGGTTAGGGCGCGGTCGAGGTTTTTGGAGAGGTCGGCGGCGATGCGGCGGGCGGGGCGGTCATAGAAGGCGGCGCCGGCGGCTGTGGAGAGGCGGACCGATGACCGGAGCATTTGGGAAAGACGATCGGCTTGCTTGTCGAGTTCGGTGCAGTCGGCTTGAAATGTACCGGCTTCGGAGACCGAATTGCGAATTCGCTCCGATAATAGAATTGGAAACGACAACACATCTTCGATTCGATTCTCTTCCATCATAGAAAAACTCAATTGATTACAGACATTGAAATCAAATGCACAGTATTATAAAGATTGAGCAGATTGATATGAGTGAAATTGCAAGGATTTGTGATATGAGTGAAATTGCAAGGATTTGGGTTTGGGGATTGGAATTCAAAGTCGTCGGAGAGTCAAAAGTAGTAGAGTCGTCTTTGTCGTCGCTTTCGTAGCTAAGACTGTGTGAGAGAGTGGTACTTTCGTTATGATCTTCGCATGTTCGAATGTCTGCGTGTTGATGTTTGGTTGGTTGTTTTCTTCGAAATTGCGATGTTTTGATTTCAGACAGCGTAATCTTGCGTGGGCTAGAAGATGCGGTGAAAGTGGGTTGATGATATAAATAAGTTTCTTTTTTAATATTTTATAAAAAAATTGTGTAAAAATGTTAAAAAAAATGATATCGGTCGGTTGACTCATCCGGCTCGCTCGACTCAATCTTATTTTTTTAAAGTTTAGAAATATTATTTTAACAAAAATGTTTTAACAAAAATTATTTTAACAAAAATGTTTCATGCCCCCTTTCCCTCCACCCCTTTGACCCCCTCTCTCTCTTATTGGTTACATTTTCTTTTTCTTTTTTCTTTTTTCCCTGCTCCTCCAATCACCACCCACCACGTATCTATGGGGGTTGTGGGGGTAATGATCGGAGGGAGTTTCTATCATGGCTCTTATTTTAACTTATAGAGGTAAGTTGAGTCAATGTTTTAAGATCAAAATATTAATGGGTTAGATGCGGGAGTTATATTTTCAATCCAGTTTGCCTCGACCTGACTCAACCAATTATTAAATTAATTAATAATTTATTTATGTATAATATATTAAAATGTATTTTTTTTTGTTGGGATTTAAATTTTATTTTTGTTAATTTTATTGATATTCACATTTATGGTGATGTATAACTAAATTTATTTAAGAAAATTTTCAATTTATACACAAAATATTTTAATTTATAATGTTGTCAATATATTTATTTAAAAAATATAATGTGTAATTGAATTTAATTATGAAATTTCTTTTTAACATATAGTCCGATGAGTGGACTTAGGATTTATAAATTTTTTTTGGACTGAGCTTGGGTAGATATATAGGTCTAATTTTAGGACTGGACTGAGCTTGGACAGATACAAAATTTCTTAAGAGGATTCTATTTACACCAAAAACATCATTAAGGTATCGTTTGGGAAGAGCTCATTTGGACTCTTTTGACTCTTTGAGTCACAAAAGGCAGAATAGGTTATTTGAGCCATAACAGACAAAACATCACATCCAACCGGTAATCATTACACTTTTCTCTCACAAAAAAAGTCAAAAAAGTCAAAAAGTCAAAAAGTCCTTCCTAAACCAAGCTTTTGAGCCCAGGCTCAAATAGTCAAAAAAATCAAAAAGCCAAAAAGTCAACCCACTTTCCAAATGGAGGCTAAGTACTCCTAATTTTTCAGTACATCTTATTCAATTATTTAGGATTTTATGTTACTCTCAGTGTACTCAAATAATAAATAATTATAAAATTAAATTATTTCAAAAATCTTCTGATATAGGAAACATAATTGACACCAAATTAATCTATTGATATTTGGCCGAATAATATTGCAGAATCCCTCTAGGTTGATAAACTAGATTGAGCCATCAATTTTGAATCTACATGCATAACGGAATTCAAAGCTAACTTTAAATCTTCTTTTTTTATTTTTATTATTATTATTATTATTATTATTATATGTGAAAGACGTAGGTTTGTTTTCTTTGGTTTGCAGCAAAAGAAAATTATGGAGGAATACGCAATATGAAAATAACAGAGAGAAGATTTTTTATTTTATTTTTTATTTTTTATTTTTTTTATTTTTTCAAGAAAGAACATAAAGTTAAGTAAAATTTCAAGTTTCATGTTTATCTTAGTCTCTAAGTTATGTTACCTGTCATTCAAATTCATCAATGCATCTCTACTGTGTAATTAGGCAGATTTAATGCCATATGTTACTACTTTTTACAGTTATGCATGTGTTTCTTTTATGAACGATATTCACATGTAACTCTAATAGAGTCGTACGTGATTAGTGGACGTGTAAAAAAAAAATTATAGAAATCGATAATTGTATTTTAATTTTGGTAGAGTAAATTAGAATTTTGGAGCGAGGAAGAAAAAGAATAAAAGAAAATGACACAGGTAAGCCCACAAAGGATATAACCCACCACTTAGGGCCCAATACATAATTCAAATACTAAAGCCCAACGTGCTGGAGCTCAACATGGCATTAAGAACCAATGACATCTAAACACGTGGCAAGAGAAGGACAAGCAACATAAGCAGACAAAGATCCTGCAAAATTATTGCACTGCACATCAACCATTAATGAAGCCCCTTACAGCATTTATTGCGATAACCCCTCCCCGTCGAGACATAACGGCATCATCATGAACAAGGCAAGTTAGAGCATAGACTTTCGGCCAAGAAAACAGGTCGGAAGGGACAACGAAATGATTACTAGAGGATATAAGCAGACGTCGAAGACAAGAAAAAGATTAAGCTTCTCTATCACTAATCTATCTCTACATTCTATCTCTCTTTCTAACTTGCTCGTCGGAGGGTTCGCTGGGGGACTTCCCGTTCCCCATTGAACTCTGGTGTAGGTTTCTCTGTGGGCTTGGCACCTCGGACACTGGTTTGGGAAGCGTGGATCAATCCGAGCCGTTCCATTTGAAAGACCCTGTATCATCAGTTGGCGTCGTTTGTGGGAAATCTTTTGCTCCACGCGCCAGTTGTGCTCATTGTCGCCGGAGACCCTTTCTCAAAAACCCCTCCCTACCACCCACCAAGATAGATAGTCACAACTAGATCCATGGCTTCTCACTACAATGTTGCCGACCACCAAGCCGACTGTCCCAATCCAAACAACCCCCCACAGTATTTCACCGAGCTCACCAACAGCATCAACCGCCTGGCCTAGCAAAACCAAGCCCTGATTAATACTCTACTCTAAAGAAACCTTTCTATACCTCCTCCACCACCTCCAGATATCCCACCCAACCAAGAACGAGCCCCAAGCCATACTATCCAGCAGCCCCATCCACCCAACTTGGAAGGCTTTCGACCCCCTTCCCCAGATATCAACCCGCCACCCCGGGTCCCACCTCCATCGGTCCAAGCACCCATGCCTGAGGGAGAGGCCAGTAGTGTCCAGCCCCCGTTACATTCCGGTGATGACAACGTTCCACTCTAGGACGCAGAACTCCGAGCCATGAAGCTCCAGCTCCAAGGAGTCGTGCAGAACATACAGTATAAACCATTCACCACAGCCAACTAACCATTCGTTGCCTCCATCAGGGACAAATCTCTACCTCCTAAGTTTAAAATGCCCTCGATTGACTCTTTCGATGGTACAACGGACCCAGTCGATCACTTGGAGACCTACAAGACCCTCATGATCGTCCATGCATTCCCTGATGAAATCATGTGTCAGGTTTTCCCCGTAACACTTAAGGGGTCAGCTCGACTGTGGTTTAGTCAACTACCGACAGACTCTGTCTCTACCTTTCAGCACTTGAGTGACTCCTTCCTCAGCCACTTCATTGGTGCCCAGCGCCAACGGCGTCCGGCAACTCAACTCCTCAACATTCGTCAGACGGAGGGAGAGTCGCTGTGCAACTTCGTTACCCGCTTCAACACCGAGGCCTCGTAGGTGGCAGAAAATGATGACAAGGTCATTCTCATATCTTTCATGACCGGTCTACGATCATCTGATTTCTTTTTTTCCCTCTCCAAAAACCCCCCGACCTCCATGGCAACCCTACTTTCCCAAAGCCCAAAAATACATGAACGCCGAAGATTCTCTAGCCGCCCGACAGGATCCTACTGCCAAAAACCCAACCCCTAGAGAGAAGAGAAAGGACTCAGAAACCAGAAACACCCAGTACACTCACCAAACACCTCAGTATACCGACTGACCACCCCGAGTTGACCGGTCGGTGTCAACCCGACCGTCCAGCCGGTTCGAACGATACACTCCCCTCAACTCCCCCATAGAACAAGTCTTGAACCAGATTTAACAAGATTATCCCCTAAAATGGCCCCAACCGTCACAGTCTCTTTCCAACCGGAGAGACCAGTCCAAATACTACCGCTTTCATCCGGACCGCGGCCATAATACGGAGGAGTGTGTTAACCTCAAAGACCAGGTCGAGGGCTTGATATGTCAGGGACGTCTCAGTTGGTTCACGGAAGCCCGTCCTCAGCAAAGGCAAAGGATTGAACCCATCAGAAACAACCGCCGGCGCACCCTTCCTCGATAACTCACACAACTTAACCAAGGTCATGATCACCCTCCACAACAACCCTGGGCACAAGGTAACCCCGCCCCCCCTGTTGGAGAGATCAGAGTTATTGCTAGCGGGCTTGCTTGTGGAGGACCATCCCGCTCAGCTCAGCGGGCAGAGCTCAGAAAAATAAGGCAGGGCTCAAACAAAGAAGTTGCCACATTGGACCGCCCTTCCAAACAACCCAAGTAGTGGATGAGCCCATCACCTTTACGGAGGCCGACTGCACCGGCATCTGTTACCCCCATGACGACCCCCTCGTCATCTCTGCTCTCCTCTCCAATTACAAAGTCAGATGGGTTCTCGTTGACAACGGCAGTTCTTCAGACATCTTCCTAAATACCTTTCGCCAGCTTAAGGTCGGGGAAAAAAGTCTATCCCCTCTCCAAACCCCATTGATCGATTTTACTGGCGATCAGGTGACTTCTATCGGCTCTATTGATCTTCCCATCACAATCAGAGAATACCCACGGCAGACCACAAAGTTGCTCACCTTTTTTGTTGTCGACTGTCTCTCTGCTTACAACATCATCCTCGGCCGCACCACCCTAAATGCTTTCCAAGCTATCACATCCATTTTCCATCTTGCCATCAAATTCCTACCGACCTTGGGGTTGGCACGGTGAGGGGAGAGCATACCGTGGCCAGAGAATGTTACGTCACTTCACTTAAAGAGGTCAAGCTAAAGGAGGCTATGATCATCGAAGGGCTCGACGTCAGAGACGAGGATGAACTGGTCAGAGGGGAACCAGTGGAAGAGCTTGTCGAGGTCCTCATCGATCCCACCAACCCGACAAAAACTACCAAGATCGGCAGCCAACTATCCTCCCAGGCCAAGGCTGACCTTACAGCCCTCCTAATTGAGCACAACGACATATTTTCCTAGACCCACTTCGACATGCCAGGTATTGACTCCTCCTTCATCACCCATTGTCTCAGCGTTGAGCCCCATTTCTGACCTTTCCGCCAGAAGCAGCGCATCTTTCACCTGG